AACCTTCACTTCACTTTTACATCTTACTACAAGAGATTAATTAACTACTTTTTTTTCTTTAATTTCTTAACATTAAGTGATGGTGAGGAGAATTGAATTCTTGTTTTGGAGAAAAACTTATATATCGGGAATGTCACTATGACGGTATTCTGTGCTAATCATGTATAAATTGTCGTGTATTTTAATTTTTTCACATGACAGTATGTGATTGACTTGAAATACCGCCATAATTATATCCCTGTTTCATGCAAGTTCTTATCACTACAGCTAGAAACCCAGTACAAATTTGCTGATGCTTCAAGGCACATGCATGGTGCCAATACTTTTCACATCATTTATTATTAGTTCCTTCACTTTTTTATGCACTTGAAAGCATGCAAAGAGTTGTATATGCGTTTTGCCTTTTCCCATAGACTCATAGTTGTTGCTGAGCCTAGAAATAAGTAGGTCAAAATCACGTCCATTTTGAGTTCAAAAGATACAGAGGGACGTGAAAAATGCTTAGGTTCGACTTGAAAGGAAAGGAGGTCAACAGAAATTGATTGTCTTTGACACCACTCTAAAGTTGTTCTAACAACCATATGCATTGCATTTTTAAATAGCTAATTCATGAAGCTCTCATCTTCCAGTACAATTTTCTCCTATAAACTATTTCAAATTTCTATGACCACCTACTCGACCAAAACACACTTCTATATATAAACACCCAACATTCTCTCTTCACCACACACTCATTTGGATTGGACCAGCTTCAGTTTCACCCACATTACACTTTCTTGCACAAAAACATAAGGAGAGAGAGGGAGAGAGATAATGGGTGTTCCTCTTATTTCATCACCGTCATTTCTTACCCTCTTTCTCTTCTCTTTCATGACATTATGTCTCAGTCCTCAGCATGCTCTTGCAAGCATAACAAGGCACTACAAGTTTGATGTATGTGCATATATATGTGTGTTACAAAGTCTTATCATGCATACATAGCACCCAAGTACGATGAGAAATGTTCTATTGTCAGATAATTTGACATGATATATATATATTATTCAGTTTAAAAATATGCACGCAACCCTATCGTTACATGTGTCTAATTGTAACAAGATAAAATTAGCCCCTAGGCGAAATATTCTTGTCATATATGATACGTAGTTTTTATCTTCTTATTATTGGGTCCTTTTTTATTGCCTTGTTTAACCTGTTTTGATTGGTTTCACAGATCCAACTGCAGAACGTGACAAGGTTGTGCCAGACAAAGAGCATTGTAACAGTAAACGGACAGTTTCCTGGGCCTCGAATTGTTGCTAGGGAGGGTGACCAACTCCTTATTAAAGTGATTAACCATGTCCAAAACAACATCTCTATTCATTGGTAATTTTGATTAACCACAACTTCATAAGCAATCTAGAGTTCATTCTTTGGCATAAATTTTATTGCCATGCATAATTAGCCTAATGAACTGGAAGTTAGTTAATTAATTATTATTTTTTGTTAATTACCAGGCACGGCATTCGACAGCTTCGAACAGGGTGGGCTGATGGGCCTGCATATGTGACCCAATGTCCCATACAAACAGGTCACAGCTATGTGTACAACTTCACCATTGTAGGCCAAAGAGGCACTCTTTGGTGGCATGCTCACATTTCATGGCTAAGATCAACTGTTTATGGTCCACTAATCATCCTTCCCAAGCTTGGAGTGCCTTACCCATTCACTAAACCCTATAAGGCGGTGCCGATAATCTTCGGTAATTAGTCTTTACTACTCCTAATTAATTAATTAATTAATTCTTGTAACCAAGCATGTATGTTTTCTGGCCTATTCTATTGTCATATGATAATATGGCTACAACATGTATGTTTAAAACACAGGAGAGTGGTGGAATGCAGATCCTGAGGCAGTTATTAGCCAGGCCTTGCAAACAGGCGGAGGCCCAAATGTTTCAGATGCTTATACCCTTAATGGTCTCCCAGGGCCTTTGTACAACTGCTCTGCCAAAGGTATTAAATTTATCAAAATAAAAATGCATTCCTAACACCTTATATTTTTATACTATCAAGCTGAACTTTAACACCTTATATTTTTATACTATCAAGCTGAACTTTAAAAAGTGACCTTCGTATAGTTTAAATTGACTGTTTAACAACATAACATTTTAAATATCTAATCAAGACCGTTTTAACAACTAGCATGCACGATTTTGGAAAATCTCCTTGTTACAGCTCAACACCTTGTTATTCGAGTTATATGAGGAAAAGTTTGCTTGTATGGCTCCTTTTTGCAGATGCATTCAAGCTAAAGGTTGAAGCTGGGAAGACATACCTTCTGCGCCTGATCAACGCAGCACTGAATGATGAGCTCTTCTTCAGCATTGCAAATCACACCCTCAAAGTGGTAGAAGCTGATGCCGTCTATGTCAAACCCTTTGAGACCCACACAATTCTGATTGCCCCTGGACAAACCACAAATGTTCTTCTCAAAACCAAACCCAGCTTCCCAAATGCCACATTTTTCTTGACTGCTAGGCCATATGTGACTGGCCTAGGTACATTTGACAACTCCACAGTTGCTGGCATTTTAGAGTATGAATTCCCACCCAACACCAAAACCCTAAAAATGAAGAAACTTCCACTCTTCAAACCCAATCTCCCGGCCTTAAACGACACATCCTTCGCAACAAAATTCAATGACAAACTCCGCAGCTTGAACAATGCACAATTCCCAGCTAATGTACCCAAGAAAGTTGACAAACGTTTTTTCTTCACAGTAGGCCTTGGAACCAACCCTTGTAGCCAACATAACCAAACATGTCAAGGACCCAATGGGACAATGTTTGCAGCTTCAATTAACAACATTTCTTTTGCCATGCCAAACACTGCCTTACTCCAATCCCACTTTTCTGGCCAATCAAATGGGGTTTATACTCCTGACTTCCCAACCAATCCAATAATCCCATTTAACTACACAGGGGTCCCACCAAATGATACTATGGTGAGCAATGGGACAAAGCTGGTGGTGCTTCCATTTAACACCAGTGTGGAGTTGGTGATGCAGGACACTAGCATTCTTGGTGCTGAGAGCCATCCTCTGCATCTTCATGGGTTTAATTTCTTTGTTGTGGGTCAAGGATTTGGGAACTTTGACAGAAATAAGGACCCTGCAAAGTTCAATCTGGTTGACCCTGTTGAGAGGAACACTGTGGGCGTGCCCTCTGGTGGATGGGTTGCTATTCGGTTTTTAGCAGATAACCCAGGTAATATATTGAAGCTAAGATATAACAGTAACGATATACGTATCACATTATTGATCACATTTCTCTTTTTCATAAAACTAAGTTTTACGTAAATCTCACAACGCATAAACACCTAAAATGGGGGCTGAAATTATAAAAAAAACTCAACACCCAAAACACTTTATAAACACACCAAAAACTCATCATTACATACACTCAAAACTCATTTATAAACACACCAAAAAAATATACAATTGTTGATTTTTGGGTTAATTTTGGGTGTGTTTCTATGTTTAAATAGTATTTGAATTTTTTTATAAATATATGTCTAGAATTCGGTTTATTTATAAATTTGTAATGAAAATATAAACCCTATTTCTTGATCATTGATGTGCAATTCGTACTCAAACTTTATTATTTTGGGTTGATTTTGATGACTGATATTGAACGGTTGATGTGTCAATATACAGGCGTATGGTTTATGCATTGCCACCTGGAGATCCACACAAGCTGGGGATTGAAGATGGCTTGGGTAGTCTTAGATGGAAAGCTTCCCAATCAAAAGTTGCTTCCTCCACCTGCTGATCTTCCCAAATGTTGATCTTATTCACTTCTATTATCTCTAAACATAACTTGTCCATAGAATTTTGCGACCCATTCGTTTATTCTTTGGTATCTTTTGGATTTACTTGGCCAAAATTGTTTTGGTTATGCAGAGATGAGGGAGAATAAAAGAGTGAGACAATAACATATCTCTAACACTCAAATATCATAATATAAGAGGCCTCAATATTCAAATAATACGTCACTGGCGGATTGTTGCTGTTCTTTTTCAGTTCTTGGATTATTAGAAATATTCCTCTCTTTTTCAATGTGCCGCTCTGCTTTATTTTAATCTCCACCCAAGTACACTCTGGAACAAAAAACAATGAAGTTATGGCGGATTGTCCGGCTAGGATTGTTTTTGTGTTGCACGAGTTCAAATTCTAGTCCAACAAAGAAACCAGCCAACCCAACATAAGCATATATCTATGCAACCAGCCGTCCAGAAAAAGATGTCTGAAAGTTAAACCATTGCCGCCTGAGGAGTCTTAAGTTTCTAGGTGTCTGAAAGTTACTCCATTCTCATAAAAATTATAAATGAATAAGAAGTATCAAGGTTTCTTTTACGTGTGGAGAATGGCAATGTCATGGTAGAAGAATGATCAATTATCAAATATTTGACATGTTATGCTACTAGACTGAATCGTAACCACGTATTCAAATTCCACCTAATCAACAGTTTCAATTCACAGTTTTACATCAGAATATGTAGGGATTGTCACAAGATAAGTTGTAATGTCAACGTATACGACCAGGAAAAACTGGCATAAATAAAATGAAAAACAGAGTATAACTTATTGTCAAGACAGATTAATAAGGGTTTCCAACTTATGGAGCCCTCCAATTGATTGATCAGTAGTAGACATGCATTCAAGTGCAAATAGCTGCAATAAGGGTTTAAAGTTAATGGAGCCCTCTGATTGATCGATCGATCAGTCGTAGACATGAATTCAAGTCAAATAGATGATACCTCTATACAATATGTTGAATACTAGATTCCATATCGAGTATATACTTAAGATAAATCATGAGCATCCAAAGATTAAGGTATGTTTCTAATAAGACAATCCACATAGGCGCCTAATTAATCAATTCAAGGTTTTGTATCCAAATGATACATGTTGGATTCCTAGGAAACAAAAATGACATATATTATGCATCTAGTGGTTGGTTGTTTACATCTGCCACTGCCAGCAAAACATATTCCCTTGTCTACATACTTGACGGGGAATCAAAAGAGTTTGGTTTGTAAAGAAGTAATATTATGCTTTCCAATAAGAATGAGACACCTGCCCCAAAACAAATATATTGTAGATAAAATAAATATTCAATCTATAACTTACTTGTATAAGTACCTCGCACAAGGTTCCAGCCTCTCAGAAGTACAGAACTTCAATATTCCCACTTTCGGTAGCCATGACCACGTTTAAGCTGCTCATGTTTCTTTTTCTTCAAATGTTCTTCACAACAATGTCATCAATCCAAGCAGCAAATTCAAAGCTCTTCAGAGAATACATCGGAGCTGAGAACAACGGCGTCACTTTCGAAGAAGTGCCCGTTGATTCCAAAGTTGAATTTCACTTCATCCTCTCCTTTGCCATTGACTATACACAATCCAATCATCCTACGCCCACTAATGGCAACTTTAATGTCTTCTGGGACACAGAGAATCTTACCCCTGCTCATGTATCCGGCATCAAGGCTCGTCATCGAAATGCTAAAGTAGCTCTGAGTCTTGGAGGTGATACCGTAAGCAACATATCTGCAAACTTCAGTCCTACATCAATCAATTCTTGGGTTAGAAATGCTATCGACTCAATAGTTCAGATAACGAAAAAATATCATTTGGATGGAATTGATATTGACTATGAACACTTCCAGACAGATCCCAATACATTTGCTGAATGCATTGGGCGACTACTGTTCTACCTTAAACAAAACAATATTGTGTCGTTCACATCAATAGCACCATATGAGAATGACGCAGTGCAACCATATTACTTGGCATTGTGGAGGAAGTATGGGCATCTCATTGACTATGTTAATTTTCAGTTCTATGCCTATGATAAGGGCACGACTATAAATCAGTTTTTAAAACATTTTGAGATACAGAGCTCAAATTACAAAGGTGGAAAGATTCTAGTGAGCTTTGGAACAGATGGAAGTGGGGGGTTGTCCCCTGAACATGGGTTCTTTGAGGCTTGCGCTAGGCTTCGACGTCAGGGCAAACTTCATGGCATTTTTATTTGGTCTGCTGATGACTCCAAGAAGGCTCATTTTCGTTATGAGAAGCAATCACAGACCTTTCTAGCTAGCATAAAATGAACTGTTTTTTTTTTCTCCTCCCTTATTTGTATTTGCTGTTATGTTATTCTTAATTGGAAAGAAGGAAGCAAATAGGATTGTTGTTTATTTGTCTTTAACACAAGTAAACATTCTAAACAAGCAAGCGTTATGGAATAACATTTGGAATCTAACGCCATTAATAAATAAGATAGCACTTCTCTGAATGTAATTGCACGATGCAGCGGTGGTGCCTAGGTGTGGTACATATCAAGGGGGTGAGACAAGGTTGCATAAGTGCACCTCCTTTGGCCTTTCAGGGCCTGGTCAATTTCGATACAGATCAGGGAATTCTACCATCAGCTCATCCTGGTAACACATTAGTGCTGGTAAAAATATCAAACCTTCCCTACTGCGAAACATTTTGGCTAAAGCAAAGTAGGAAGGGGCTTCAGACCTGGAAAGCAAGAACTAGAATAAAAAAGCAAATTAAAGGATTCACATAACAGCCATGTGTAGTTTCCATAAATTGATTAAACCATACTTTATCTGAAACAGAATAAATTCAGATATACATGGTATAAAAAGTAAACACAATATATCTAATGAATTGGCACTGAGGAGTGAGGCCTCTCTAGTTTTTGCAGTACAGTGTTGAACTGGTATTATGTATGTATGTACCCTTGTTTTTGTTTTCAATTACATGAACAAACATCGATAGAATAAAGTAAACTGAAAGAACTAAAAACTAACCGAGGAGAAAGTGATGATTACATTTTAAATTTTCAATAGAAAAACAAACAAACCAGTACTTCATGCATCCCACAAAGTTGGTGGTGGAGACAGTTTTGTTAGATTCGAGGAAACATGAACATGGAAGAGCCGATAAGGAGACCTCATACCTGATAGTGCTCTCAAACACATGTAACTGGGTGCCATTTTATCTGATGGTCCACCTGGTTGTATATGCCTTTTGGAAACCACAGGGCAATTGAACAAGTGGATCTCTATAGTTTCACTCTACTGTAAACCCACTGATCCAGGTAGTAAAGGAACTGGAAAATACTATGTTCTGGCACATTATTGAATAAGCTGATGGAGCACTTTGTGGAAAAACAAAGACTCCTCCCATTCAACCTTGGATCATTATATCCAAGAGCAAAGGAATATCAAATATGCATCAAAGAACAAAAATGTAGAAATTAGAACAAAAACACATATCTATAGAGAACTTAAAGTTGTCGCATCCAATTACCAAAAGCAGCACCCTTAAAGTGTGACTAAAGCACAGTTTTTTCCATTTTCTATGTTCTTTTTCTTTCATAGGGCATTCTTCCATTAGCCCATCTACGACATTGCAATTGATACAATGGGTGTTCTTCAAAATGCACAAAACACAGACTGAAATAACACTTGTATTAAGAATCAAAACTAGGATGACATTAATCAGAGGCCAAATTTGCATTGCAATCAGTAGTATCACCAAAAACAAACAAGGCATCCCCTTAGTATTACAAAGAAAAGAGTACCCATTACAAAATTACCTGGAAGAAAAGAAAAAGTTTTCATTACAATTACTGAAAGTAGCACACTTAATTTGTTGGAAATGTGGATCAACTACAGTTTCCTCCATTAATTAAAAAAAAATCCTCCTATGGTGCTTTATATGTCCATTTTACTTACATAGGCCATCTACAACATTGCAATTGATACAGTCTGAGTCTGTGTTCTTCAAGATGCATGAAACACAAAATTGAAATAATACTTGTATTAACAAATCAACAGTGAGATGACATTAATCAGCGGCAAAATTTTCATTGCAATCCATAATATAACCAGAAACAAACAACAGATCCTCTTAATAATTGGTATTACATAGAAACCTCAAAACCTGAACCTCCCTGAACCTGCTCAGCAGGGATCCTCCATGGAATTGAAATCATGACGAAATTCCAGAAAACTGAAACCCAACAAAAATGACAACCGTTTAAACTTGGTTATCATCTCAACTTTTCCTCCTCTTCTTTTTCTTATCCAGATTTTCCTCCAAAGCATCTAACACCCCACTCTTCCTCTTCTTCCCCTCTTCCTTCTTTACCTCTTCGTTTCTGATTTTAGCCTCATCGTCTCCCTTCTCAATTTGCACTGCATTCTCATTAGAATTACCAACATTATCCTTCTTATTTTTCTTCTTCTTCTTGTCATGCATCTCTACTGAATCAGCTGCCTCTCTCTTTTCAACACCCACACCTCCTACCTCTGCATTTTTACCCCCACCATCTCCCTTCCCAATTTGACACCCATTTTCCACGGAATTACCAACAGTGTCCCCCTTCTTTTTGTTCTTTTTCTTATTATGCATCTCTGCTGAATCAGCTGCCTCTCTTCTTTCAACACCCTCCCCTGCCCCCTCTGCAACTTTACCCCCACCATATCCATGGTCAAAATGACCCCCATTTTCATCAAAATTAATAACATTGTCCCTCTTCTTTTTCTTCTTCTTGTCATGCACCTCTACTGGATCAGAAGCCTCTCTCTTTTCAACACCCTCACCTTCCCTCTTTGCAATTGCACCTCCATCTTCCCTGAAATTAAGAAACTCACCCTTCTTCTCCTTCTTCCCCTCCTCCTTCTTCCTCTCAACAGCATCCACTACCGGACGATTGGGTTCTTCATTCTCAAGCCTCCCATTGCTATTACTCTCCTGTCGCTGCCTTTTGGGCTTGGGCTTTGATTCTAACTCGAGCCCATGACTCACTTCATGACTCACCACAACACTCCGAGTCGGATTCTCTCCGACGGTCTCTGCGTCGTCATTTTCAGCCTCCGACCTATGCAGCGATCGCCTGCGTTGGGACCTCGGCGCTTTGAGCTCCTTGTGGAGCTGCTTCAGCTCCTTGAACGATGCCAAGGCGCGTTGGAGGTACACGCTGAACTCTTGCGACGCGCCGGTGTCGCTGGAGACGAAGGAGGACAAAGTCGAGGTCGCTTTGGAGAGAGAGATTGGCTTTGTGGAGAGGACGGTCCCTGAGACCGTCATGGTTGATTGAGCGTTTCTAGGGTTTTAGGGAGAAAGAGAGGGTTTTATCTTAGGGTTTTCAATTTAGGGCGGATACTTAAATAATAATAAAATTAATAATAATAAAATAAAACGTCACAACATGGAGAGTTCGGAGAGTGCAACTGAGTAGGTGTGCTCCAACTAACTCTGACCGTTGGATGTTACTACTTCTTTCTGGCTTGATTTTTTTTTGTTTTTGGAAGGACCTTTCCTATTGAGAGGGCACTAATATGCTAAACTCATACACACAACACGAGTGCTAGAACTTGAACTCAAAATTTACTTGGGAAGCAATTACTCTAAACCACTATATTAGTGGGTCCTTTGCTTATCAATTATTTTTGTTTTTTAAGTACAAGCTATTGAAGGAGGGGTTTATATAAGTATTCATTGGGTGTTCGAGAGTTTTGAACCTTTGCCTTCATAAATGGAGATGAAAGAACTCATCCAAGGGTGGAACCAAATTTTTTTTAATGGATGGGCTAGCTAAAGTTATTAGCTTAAAATCAAATGATAATTTTTTTTTGTACTTACATTTTCTATAGTAAAATGCTTCTCTTTTAGAGACAAATTAATATAAAAATTTAAAAATTGATGTTGGGACAAACTTTGACACCAAATACAAATGTGGAAGACCTATTACTATGCCTATTGGTGTTGAAATTGTATATATATTTATTTGTTTTTAGTTAAAATATTATGATATATGTATATTTAATTTATTTTTTATCCAAACCTTCCCTGGGCTACAGCCAAGGGCAGCCTTTGCCTTGGTTCCGCCCATGAACTCATCATACTAAATAATTTTTAAATTCATTACGTGTTATTAAATACACGATGAATTGGAATATATCCGTCTGATGTGACTCTCACATGCGATTTTTTGATGGGCACCATGAGTGGGGAGGGTACGGTCCAGTCCGATCCGATTTTCATTTTGCACCGGAATCGAAATCGGTATTATTTAACCAGTGCGATTCTGTTTGGTTTTAGTGAATTCTTTTATGATTTTTTTCGATTTTTTCTATCTGATACAGTTCGGTGTTCTGGCTTTTAGGCCCCATGCCCACCCCTAACATGAGGGTATCATCAATAATTTTATGAGACACCCTATGATCAATGCAATTTGGCAAGAAAAACAATAGGGGGAAAAAAAAAAAGAAAAAAGGAAAAAAAAAAAGAAAAAAGGAAAAAAAGAGAAACAAAACTATATATTGTTCACGTATATGTAGACTGTGCAGCCCTTTACCCAGCCAGCCTAAAACCCCAACCCAAAACCTTTCTGTGCTGTCGGCCCCCCATCTCTCACTACCCGTCAACACTGAGTGCTCTCTCTCTTTCTCGAATCAACTGCACATGTTCCTGCGCCTTCTCCATTGAAGCTACGCAGTCGGCGCCATCTCCATTTGGTATTTGTTCTTTATTATATCTTTAAATTTGTAGCATAGTAATTTCGAAATGCAAAGAGACATCCTTTTATAATATTTCAATAGTTGTTATCAAGTTAGCCCGGAATTTTGAGTATTTCAATCTAGTTTTGTGGGCACAAATATATCTCCAATTAACCAATTTTTATCTCCGTTTTTGTTTCTTCTCTCGAAGTAGTCTTTTTGTGGTGTTGATCAATGAGGACGATGAATAGAGGCCAAGCCAAGACCCTAATCTTCACCAAACAGCCCTTCATCGAAGACGAAGGGCATCGTAAAATGTAAGACCTCTTTTCTTTCTTTCTTGAATTTCAATTGGTTCAGTTTGATGCTAGTAAAATCATGTCGTTTTCGATTACTCAATGCCTGGTATCGTTGTGCCTGTAGAGAAAAATGGCAATTCAGCACCATGTCCGACACGGAGATTGTCAATATGGCTGAAACTCAAATTTATAAATGCAATTATTATGATCCCAATCAAAAGCCTATTGAAGGCGGCTTATTGGACCCCCGCTTGGTACACTCTCACCCTTGAATTGTTATAGAAAATGCTTTTGGTTATTGTTGAAGCATTTTTTGGTTG